CATTGCACATACAATGCCCCTATTGATCGACGGGATTGAACGAACAATGTCAAGTGTGACATTCATGATTGATTTATGTAGGGTCCACAAATGTCATTGGGGCACTATATTACACATGAATAACTAGCGAACTTGGCCCGAGTTCGAGGTTTCGTCCCTACATCCCTCAATTCTAATCTTATCCTGTAAAGCGTAGTATATAAACGTTTCGTTGTCTGGACACCTCGTGTATTCCTTCGGAACAAATACTTGTCCAACAAATACACTATTCGAGTAGTCGTCCAATTCATATTTGTAGAACTCAATGAGCCCTAACACCATGTAGCACATATTGGCATCCGCGTAGTCATTCTGCCACACAATCGTAAAGCCCATGCATTACACTTCTGCATCACAAGCATTTGCACCCTGCCATGCGTATGCGTCAGCCATGGCAAATCCATCCGCACAACTACCTTCATTCGCTCAGAGAGGACTGGGTTATTGTATTCGAATCCAGTGTCTCCAAGCTTTGATCGAAGTGTTTTGTAGTTTGGCACGGTGTAGACACCAGCGGTGAGCCCATTATAAACACCACTGGCTATATCCGAATCCGCGCGTGCTTCCCTTTGGTCACGCTCTTCCTTCTGCCTTTTGGCGTTGTCTACAGTTTCTTGCGATTCACATGTTCTGATCATATCATGCCATCCATTGATTTGGTAACCCAAAATGCCAGACATGAACGAGCACTCGGTCCCTTCAGTGCAAATCTGGTCTCTATGTGCATTCAGATCTGCGATATCTTCAAAATCACTTTCATCCCCTTCATTAATAAGTTCCATGCATCCCATTTGTTGATACACAAACTTTTCGTAAACAAGAGCCTTGTATGTGATCTCTTGGCCGTCAGTGCATGGATGATCATCTTTGAAATATAATTGTTTGAAATTTTCTTCACCCGGCGCGGTTTTTCCATCCCGTTCCTCATTTTTTAGTTCGTACAAGTTGCCTATCGTCAGCAAGTGGCATTCCTACTGTACACGTTCATTGAACGCTACCAAGAAAGCAAAACATTCTCCACTTGCAGTACATACGTCTGCACATGCCGCGGCGTGTGTTTGTCTATCAAATTCAGTCGCAGCGTCTAATGTCACATTTTCCGTTGTGCCTTCGTACACAACCATTAATTCAGTCCATCGTGGAGGTAGACTATAGCCATCGAGTTGTAGCGTGCCATATGTGTCTATACTTTCCTTGTAGCATTCTTCGAACGTTTTCTCGGTGTCTGCACTCCTCGCTAGCGCGAGTACATTCATGCCCATAACCAGAGCTAGGGTACGAATGGCAAAATAACGCCCCTTGTCTGATTAGTGATACACTATTCAACTATGCTCCAAGCTGGAAATGTGCAAGTTCTGACATTCATGCTATTTTTATTCTACATATTTCAATATTTTTCTTCGCTGTAGAGACTACTGAGAAAGAGAGAGGGTTGTCCTTCGGTCTGGGGTTCGATTGCCTTCGAAGTGCGAACGTACATATTCTACTAAACCCTAAACTCTAAAATAGTGCGATCCCCTGTGTCGGCCAAAACTTGAAAAAATAAATATCCTGAAGGGCTTTTTGTAGGGCCATTTGGCGCCAAATGATCGCCCCAGGGTATTATAAAAAAAATTACACGATTACTTGTATTTGGATTCGGAGCGTAAGGACCGAACTTTGGGAATTTTGAAGGACCCTATTTTTTTAAAGTTTGACAAAAGCTTTTGAAAACATATAGAAGTTGAACGCATTCAACACGTTTTTTTCTCGGAACATGAACGTTATAACGTATAACGTTTTGAGCTTTAGCATCGGCTCATTGGGGACATATGTGCCATGTTAAAGTTGTCCAGTTAAATTAGTCCATGTCACTCTCTCGGCCTCGGGTGACCCAAAGTAACGGTAAGTGTAAAAAAACCTTTATACGGGAGAAAGTACTGGAAAATAGTCGACCTATTGGGCACGCTATTAACGGACCAACCGTTGGAAACTATCCAGCACTTTGAGCTTTGTGGCTTCGAGTATGCACCTATTTAATAATTATAGGGCCACCCCGTTGTAAATTATATATTGCAAGTTTATACGTTCAAACGCGAAACGTATTGATGCTGGTTTTACACGACAGGGTGAGAGGAGTCAGTTTGTCAGTGACATCTCATTTTCGGGAATTTGCAACCAGCCTGTACGACCAATCCATTCGCTCAACTGGCCATTCCACGCGCCCTACATCCAGTACTAATACTGTACACAGTACACAGTACATAATAGATGTAAATAACTAGAAATATATATAAAGCGCTCGCGCTCATAGGCACCTCGGTATATAGAGCTTATCCACACACACAGTAGTTGTAGTAATAATATTTATCTAGGATGGCTAAATGGGGAGAGGGCGATGCCCGTTGGATTGTCGAGGAAAGACCTGATTCAACAAATGGCATGATTTACGTGGCCCAGTGTGTTGTTTGTAATTTTAATTGAAATATCCAAGCGTACAAACTTGATGCATCTGTCTGCCCATGTCGTCAAAAGTGACTGTGTTGAATCAATGCACACCTTGGCATATTTAAGTCTACATTGTCATATTCAAGTCAAGCACACACACACACACACACACGCACACACACACGCATATATATATATATATATATATATATATTGTATATATATATATATAAGACATATAAATATATATAAGGCATTATATATATATATATATATATTGATTTAAACGTACCTGCCTAAATTTATCCGAGAAAATACGCATTTGGATATGCCTGATTTATGTGCTCAGATAATTGTCTTGAGCTCCAAAATGATGTTCCAATTTTTATTATATACATACACCTTCATGGCTGAGTTTTATGGCGCGTTAAAGCTAATGGCGAAGGTGCTATTCTTTTCCGTATGTCCCCATACATATGCACATGATGTTGTCGGAGGTTTAAACTGAAATTATTCGTGTGTCCCTTGTATCTGTTGATATACACTTCATACAATATGGTCGTGGCGTTACATTACTGACACACTATAGTTTCTTTCGGGTGTCCGAAAAGGGAGGCTTTTTCACGGACCGAAATTATGTGTCAAGGACTAAATTTATCGTTGTTACTTTCCTATTATATTTCTCTACAGTGAACAACTGGCATTGGAGCGAAAAGAACTGCACACCCTGGTATGTCCAAAAGCACCTGCACCCCTGTATTTATTTTTAGGACTATTCACACTTTATCAGTGGAGTAGAATTCCGTGCAGTATTTTAATTGGCATTAATTGTGTATGATTTTGTGCATGTAGCTCGTTACGGGGTGCCAGATTCATACGAGGCTTCTGCGGAATCGAGTGGTGTGTAAATTGCATATATATATATATATATATAAATATATATATATATGTATATATATATATAGGAGTGTGTGTATTTACACACACATAAATATATAATATATATAGTATGTATTTATATATATAATATATATATATATATATATATATATATATATATATATATATATATATATATATATATATATATATATATATATATATATATATATATATATAGTGCACGTACATGTACATGCACTTGCTCAAAAAAAAATTATATCCAGTGGTATGAAATCATTTGAAATACTACACGGGGGTTATTGTTTTTATGGGAAGCAATCATATACACCAATACCACACCTCCCGTATATACTTAAACCTATCGCACACATACACACGCACACAGGTCTAAGAAGCGCATCGGGGAGCTCTTCAACGGCACCATGCTTTTCACGGATCCATTAGCTGATGTGGTATGCGGCACAGACATCACAGTCACAGGAGAGGCCACAGCAAGCAACCGAAAGGGTAAGCTGATCTTCTTCTACGAACTGGAGGTTAAGAGCAGCTGGTCCACCACGTCTATAGATGGTGTTAAGGTGTGTATATGAATTTATATATATATATATATATATAGATATATATACTTGTGTGTATGAGAAAAAAACAAGAATCAATGTCATATTTATCAGCGAATTCGAGGAGGGTCTATGAGCTTAGATGAAGTTTACCCCTACGCTGTAAGTCACTCAACAACTATAACGTACATCCATTCATCGCAGGTGGAGGGGGAATTTGAAATCCCAAATCTGAGTGAAGAGAACGACCTAGACGAAATAGACGTGCAAGTGACAGTTAAGAACGAAACAAATGAAAGCCGATCTATTAAAGACCTCATGCGCACCAAGGGGAAGAAGGTATGTGTTTACAGTATACACACACACACATATTATATATATATATGTATATATCTAGATATATATTGTATATATGTATACACACAAACACAACACGCACACGTATATATATATATATATATATATATATATTAACATATACTGTGCGTAGCATTCTTGCATGACTAGCCATGTATCTACCGTTTTGACCTGTGCTAATGTTCATTTCGTGCTTGGGTGTGTACCGCATACCTGTTTGTACAAATGTGAAATGTGAAAGTGTCGCAATCTCTCGTCTCCGTCATCGTTTGTGGTGTGCCGTTTGGTTGTCCTCGGATCACTTGTTTCTTTTCATGCTCGCTCCCCACATGGAAAGAGCTGACTCTTCACGCGGGTGTATAATCCTACTACTGTGCCTATATATGTAGCATCGTATATATTCATACACCTCTCTCATCCGTCCTGCTCTCATCCCCCCTCCTCCCCTCCCAAACACACACCCTCAGGCAATCATCGAACTACTAGGCAAATGGCTCAAGGATCTAAAGAACGAATACAGCACCAACCTCATCAAACCCACACTCACCAAAGAGAAGCTGGCGCAGCAAGCCCTATCCTCGCCCGCCTCAATCAACAACACGCCAGACACGCACACCAAACCAGCCGCCAAACAAGGACAAAACGGGACGGGTGGCACCGGCGCAACGACGACGATCGATGTGAAGGCGGAGTTTAAGTGTAGTGCGGCGGATGCGTATAGTGTGTTCACAGACCCACAGAAGGTGCAGGCGTGGGTGCAGTCACCCATCACGGTAGGTGGTGTCATGGGATGGTACCTGGTGTACTAGTGAGTGAACTCGTGTGTGTACGTGTGTGGGTTATGTTTGTGTGTACGTGTGTGGGTTATGCTTGTGTACTCTTGTGTGTTTTATGTTTGTGTGTACATGTGCGGTTTATGTTTGTGTGTACATGTGTGGTTTATGCTTGTGTGTACATGCGTGGTTTATGCATGTGTGTACATGTTTGGTTTAGTTTGCGTATACATGTGTGGTTTATGTTTGTGTGTATATGTGTGGTTTATGCATGTGTGTACATGTTTGGTTTAGTTTGCGTATACATGTGTGGTTTATGTTTGTGTGTATATGTGTGGTGTATGTTTGCGTGTACATGTCTGGTTTATGTTGTATGCGTGTACATGTGTGGTTTATGTTTGTGTGTAAACTGGGCATATCAAATAAATTACTGAATCAATCGCAATCGGTATATTTATGTGTGTGTGTATGTGTTGTATGCGCGCTCATTTGTGGTTATATATTTATAGATATAGATATATATATATGTGTGTGTGTGTGTGTAGATATATATATTGTTTGTTTGTGCATTATCATCTACTCCTATTATTTGATCTGTGTGTGTATCCTGCATTAATTTACAAAGCGTGTCTTTTTCACAACTGACCATGTGCACACTTTCTTTATGTAGATGGTGCCGAAGGTTGGTGAGAAATGGGCGCTGTTCGGTGGCAATGTGACGGGCGAGTTCCTGGAATTGGTATGTGATCGCAGACGCCATGCTTAGGAGTATCTATTCAATGGACAAATACTTGCTAGTTGTTTTGTAGTGTATCCATTTGATTGGCAAGTACTTATAGATGTATATGTGTTTGTAGTGTACTTATAATAGATGTATGTGTTTGTAGCGTACTTATTCAATCGGCCATGGCATATATGTATTTGTAGTGTATGTATTTAATTGGCACAAACTCATATGAATGTATATGATGGATGTAGAAGCAATCAGCTCGGTGCCATAGGCTTGTCAGTGTACATATATATTTGTAGGCAACGGGATGACTATTAGTTGAGAAAGTAGTTTGTGGAATAGTATTGGATTTTAGGTTTTTAGCACCCATAGGATTATCTCTTCGACTGTACCCAGCTGTTTGTCTTCTATATGATAGGTCTTTGACGTGTTGTGTGTAACCATACCCCTCGACGACATAACGTGCACTGATATTATGACATACACACGTACTGTTAGCGATACGACACATACATAAGACGTACCGGTAACACGACAAAGCACATGGACTGATAGTACGACATAACACACGTACTGTTAGCGATACGACCCATACATAAGACGTACTGGGAACACGACGAAGCACATGGACTGATAGTACGACATAACACACATGCTGGTTCTGATCTTCTATGACCAGAATTCGATATATACAAGCAACGGTATTGAATATCTTGGGTGTGTTGTATTTAATCCATGCTGCAGGAACCAGCCAAAATGATCAAACAGTCCTGATTATCTTTAGTGTAGTCAATTAAACAGTCCTGATTATCTTCATTATTTCATTTATTTTAACCTCTTTTTGCTATGTATTTGGTGTATTCAATCATGTTGCCAATTAATTCTTTGTGCAGGAACCAGCCAAACTCATCAAACAGAAGTGGCGATTCGCGTCATGGAATGGCACACATCACTCCGAAGTCACCATTACATTCGCCCAGGGCTCCAGCTCAACGGCTGTGGTCATCAATCAATCCGTATGTTTTAGGGGTTTAGGGTCTATGTTGGGGTGTGCATTTGTGTTGTTTCGCTTTGCAGTTGCGGTTATGTTTGTATGTGATACGGATGCGTATACATAAACGGTTTCTATATATAGGTGTGTGTTGTTGTCCATATTTTTTTGTATTGATGGCTATTGAGTACGTAACATCGGGTTTTGTGGGTGGGTGTTGAAGTACATATATGGTTTGTTTTGATAACTATTGAGTACATAACATCTGGATTTGTGTGTGTGTTGTGATTGCTCGCTTATGTCATGTGTGTACATAAATGGGTTCATAACATTTGGGTGCTGTGGGTGTGTCTTTTCATTATAATATATATATATATATATTATATACTTGGGTGGGTATAGGGTGTACTAACGTAGGCTGTCTTAGGGTAGGGTGATCTAAGGTAGGTGGGGTGTGTACCAAAATATTGTGTCCTACGGGTTTAGGTGTAGGGTGTGCAGGGTAGAGTGTATTGGTATAGGGTCATTAGTGTAGGTGGTCCTGGGGTGGGTGTACCGTCATCCCCTGTACCTGGTCTATTGTATATGCGAGCACTGGTGCCCTTCTGTCACATGAAGTAAGCCTGAAGACGTCCTTGCCATGTTACATTTGTGGTAACGTTGTGATTTTGTGTTGGTGCTATTTAGACTCGGGTGTGTTCATGCAAGCACATCGCCTGCGCTCAGTGTGGGGTATTGACGCTCACCCGCCATAGAGTCTACGTCTCCAATGGATGGGTATCTACTGTTTGTTCAGGTGTTGTGTTCTGTGTCGTTTATTGATACGTTTGGTTCGTGTGACTATCGAGACACCTGGACGTATATAAGGATCTTTCTTTTGTATTCGGATCCACCATTGCACACGTTGCAATTGGTCGTGTGTTCACTCGTCTCGTGTTATCTGAACCTCACTGACCAACCAACCAACCAACCATAACTAATTAACTAGTTAGCTAACTAACTAACAACCTGTGATCACTTCCATCACTGTAGGGAGTACCTAAAGCGGAGGCAGATAAAACTAAAGACGGTTGGAAGCAGAACTACTTAAAGCGCATCAATTCCGTATTCGGCTATGGCGCCGATTTCGGAGAATTTTAAGTTGCTCTCACTACAATTGAAGAAATAAATTGTGTGCTAAATAATATATCGCGCCATGATGCCGTGTACGTTTTGAACGGAAACGATGATGGTTGATGTCTCGCAGAGCTTACAACGAATTTATAAATACAGATTCGTATCATCACATGTTCCCTGCACACTTGCATGCCTAGGTTAATGATTACGACTGTGCAGAAGACCAACGACCAGCTAGGTGCTACAACCTACATTGGCATATGCACAACATAAGTAACACTGAAATATGACAACATAAGTTACACTGAGATATGACAACATAAGTTACACTGAGATATGGACACGGTGATTGCAAATCACAGCTGTCTGTGGCATATATGCTGTTCTGTGTGTTGTGCATTATCTGGCATCAAAAGATGTCTAAGGGTAAGTGTCAGTGTCATTGTCATGGGAAATAATATGACCTCGCAACAAATTTAGATCACTTGCTCTAAACCCAGCTCATCATTTATAGTCCACTTACAATAGCCATAAACATGCATGGAAATTAACACGGATAATAAAAATAACATCTCAACTGCTTTCGTCGTGTAGATATCGTATTATATGCGCTGTAGTGTTGTGTGCGTTTAATTATTGATTACGTATGGTCAACTGACTACTTGCGGACACGACTCTGTGTCATGGCCACGTGCACCCCGGAAACCACCGACCGATCCAACCCATACACCGTTGACATTGAGAACGGTTCAACCAGATTTTGAACCGAAGTTTTCGTATCGCGTGCGAAGGCAGAGACAACCCCAGAGTACCCCCGTTCAATAGCCCACTCCAGGGCCTCCATAGGGTCCATCACGACATTAAACTTACTGTCGTCTGTGTTTAATAGTAAGGATACGGCTCGCATATGTCCATTCTTCCACTCGAATGCTTCCGAGTCGGCTTTGTGCAGTGTGCGATGTGTGCGTGAACTAGAGACGAGCTTACCCGCCTGTGTTAGGATATTAATTCCGTTGGTAGAGTGTGTTTGGGTGCGCAAGCATTTAACGGGTGTGGCTATACTACGCATGCGGTTAATAGAGGAGGATCTTGTCACAGAGCGTCGCCTGCTCCCCCCTGCGGAAATTTTACCTACGCCACCCCTCGATGAGGTTGTTTTGGTGCCGGCAGCAGCGTGAGATCTACCACGCTGTACAAGGCTGCGTACGATACCTGCACAGCCCGTTTGCGACACAAGGTTCAAGACATTGTCGTCCCCGCTGCTAACGTGCGTTAGGACGAGGTACTCGTATTTTTGCTGTCCATTTATCATTGTGAGTGTATTGTATCGGATATTTTAATTTTTGTACGGTGCAATGACTTTCATTACTATTAAATATACAATGTGTATGTTGAATTGTTGATAGAATGTTCGTGGTAGCGTACACATTATTCTATTTCATTAGTGATTCAGGGTACAAATTACAAGCGACAGTATACTACAGCAGGCCACAGAGGGCCATCGTACAATTAACAATACTATTTACAATCAACCACGATCCAGCTGGCAAGCAGACACCATTGGGTGGCAGACCTGAGTCGGCTCCCGAAAGCGAGGGCTTTCGGGATAGCCAGATGTTGCTCTCAAAACAGATGATATCACTCTATCAGACATGTTTTGATATTGGAGGATTGTACACGATTCACAGACACCACTACACATAAGATGGTAAATAATACACACGAAATATTGTATATTCTTGTTGTGTTTATTTCATCGGCTCCCAGAACCCAGGTTCCAGTGAAGTCTTAGGCTTCAGCTCTTCACTCTGGGCCTCTGGGCCTCTGGGCCTCTGGGACTCGGGGAGTCTTGGAGTGTAGGAGATCCAGCGCCATTCCTGGAAATTACTGTACTATTCCACGAATTTTCTCCGCCGCTAGTTATTTTAAGACGGTGGCATTCTGTCGCAAATATGTTCTATATTCTTCTACCAGAAAAATCTCAGATTCTGAGATTCAGTTGCTCGTCAGGAACCTGACATTTGACAGTTGACATTTGTCAGTTCTGACTTCAAATACATATTTTTACCCTGAATTTCATTTTGTATGTATACTATAATATAAATATATCTATATATTTTTAAACAAATATTTAGGGGGTTCGGGCGGGGAGCGGCTCCACGACTCCACTCGAGTTCATTTTTTTAAAACTTAGTTCACGTCTTCACGAGAGGAGAGACTGAGTCTATGAGAGAGAGAGACCAGACCGAGGAACATATACAAATAAACGTAAAAGTGCCTACTATTATTTTCAACGTTTTATACACGTATTTTGTTTTTAAGGAAATACAAATATATGTACATATTTAAATTAGGAGTATTATTATTTTATAAAATATGGCATATTTATGAAAAATATATGGCATATTTATTTCTTATTTTTTATTTTCCTAAAAATATATTTCGTTCATTTCTCATATTTACTATTTTTCTAAAATATATATATTACATATTTATTATTTCTCTTGTATAATTTCCTAAGCATTTTAATATTATGTATTGACATAGCTTGCTATTTAGTATGAGTGACGATATTTAATACTAAAGGTTACAAACACATTGATAAACAGTCCTTGTGTATGCACAACACATATGCACAGCGTAGCATAGTAATCTACTAAGTGTGAACATATATATGAAGCTTACACTCGGTTTATGTACACTAAAAAAGTAAAAGGTCTATAGTCTATATAATAAATAAATCACGAGTTATATGACATCTAAACACGCATTTTTATAATGTTACTATTCTGAGTCATAGAAATCGACAGAGATCATTTAACAGTGAAGCAGGAAGATGTACAGATTAAGCTGCACTTGAATACTGTGCACTGGGGTGACATATTTCGGCGTGTAGGCTTATACTGTCACTGTATATAAGGCAAATAAACTAACGATCAATGTGTTTGACTTGTGTATATAATATATGTGATTTCTTGTCAGTATTTCAACACCACAAGTTTAAAACTGGAATATATAAAAATTGCCACCTTTTTTTGTATCAAGAAATCAATCAATTTTCAAATTGGAAACAATTTGCCACCTTAATTGAAAAAGGTGGTCAACATGCATCGAGCGGAAGCAGGTTAAATTACAACTGACGCTATACTACTTGTACGGTAGCTCTGAAATTGGTAACAGAGCTCAAGAACAATACTCTTGATAGGTGTGAACAATTATTTGTATGCCTGTGAAATATGAAGTTCACAATGTCCCTTCTGGCAGGATATGTGACAAGTGTGGATTACGTCTCCTGTGACCAGGATGCGCTCAGGAGACAAAATATCGAACTGGCATGTACTGTGAAAAAGCGTTTATCGGGTATCACCCGATTACAATAGTGCCAAAAAGAGTGTCCAACGTGTGCGTTCGTAATTTTTGATATTATTTCGTCCTATTTGGTATAGTTTAAAATACAGGGTCTTTCACGCATACTTGCGAAGTTACATAACTATGTATATGGAAATATCCGTCCATGAAATCACAAATATATATATATGCATATGTATGTATATGTATATGTATATGTA